AGAAACATAATGATGGTGGCGGTGGTTTTTATAACACTAAAATACTTTTTTTTTATTAATCAATGTAAGGCCAACAACAAAACGTGAAAGTTCTGGAGATTGCCTCCAGAACTGAAGGGAGACCCTGGCATTAAGAACCTGAAGGGAAATGTACAGAAGGCACGCAAGAGTGACATTTATAGCGGAGCCCCCAGAACCATCCAAGTGCGAATGCAATTTCTGTGGAAGAACGAGTAAAAGTCGTAAAGAGCATTTAAGTATGCGTTTTTGATGTTTTTTGAGTTATTTCAATGTATTGACCATAACTTATGCACTGCAAAAACGATCTAGAAATAAGTAAAAAATTCTTACTTATCCTTAATTTAAGTAGGATTTAGCTCTGCTTACTGTGGATGTGTAAGTTACCTTGGTTGCTGTCAACATCTAGTGGGATTTTCCTGTCAGTTTGCTCCACAGATACATAGAAAGATGTTCAATGTTTACACTTATAACTGCATGCAGTTGTGGCATTACGTAAAGCTAAGACCTTTTTGGAATCCAGACAAGTTTTAGAGGAAAACTGTCCCCTCCAGGCTTCTCTTTACACTTGGTTCCGCTTCATTTGAACTCCTGGCCAGCATTGTATCTAGGTTCACTGCTGCAGGAGTTTCTTCTCCTAGTATGGTTAAAACTTCACTGTGCTGAACTGCTGTCATGGAAACAGGAGCCACTTTCCTTGGCCACTGAAAGGACTAATGGTCAGAGGGATGAACCTTGAAACTAAGATACAGGAGCTTTTTAAGCTGTCGCTGTAATCCAACACTTAGACCATCCAAGTGCATCTGCTTATTAGATACAAACACGTTTTTGGTGCTCTGTGTTTCACCACAGGGCCTGAAATGGCTAAAAGTAGAACTAAAGCTAAAGTTTCCAACAAATGGACCCACAAATGCTCAAGTATTTTCAAATTTCTTAATCACGTTTACAAGTCAAGCAACAGTCACGTTGCTTGACTTCTACAAAACATAAACTGCTAAAAATGTAAATTATCAATTTAAAAAAAATCACAGCCTTTTAATTAAAAATATTAAATACGAAACAATGTGGCACCGACAGGACCCTGATGTTCGAGTCATCCTTAACGTAGACTCATACTTTAATACTCCCAGAGGGAAATTACTTTTGTCACACGCTCCAGATATACAAACATATACAACAAAACTACACAAAATAATATAAATATACACATATATAACACTCTATATATTCATATGTATATATATATTTATATGTATAACTATAGATCCAAATAAAGTAATTGTGACGTTGTGCAAAAACAGTGCAAAGAATGAATAAATGTCAATTATAGAGGGCGGGTGTCTGAATCACTTGAGGGAGGTGTTGTAGAAATTGCAGTAATGCAGCTTGTGGTTTAGTTTCTGTTTTAAGTAAATAAATAAAAAAAATTTTAAAACAAGCAAAAAAAAAACAGAATGGTTTATAAATCTGTGATGAGAACCACAAAAAAACTTGCAAAGTACTTACAGTTACTATCCTTGATGCAAAAGATGGTTTGTCTAAAAGGCGTGCCTTCAGTTCCCATCCAACATCTCTCCATGCTTTACCACAGCTTATCAGATGATGTATCTCTTTTGAATGGCTTAAGAAAACCCAAGTAACCGCCCCCCCCTCTACAAACCATGACGCAGCTCAATTAGTATCTTGCAGCTGTACAACCCAGGTCACATCATGAACTATGAAGATATTTTTAGTCATCTGAAACACACTTTTTTGTTCTTTGTAGTAACAAGGGAAAAAAAGATGTTAACAATTTATTTGCACCTTATAAAATCTTAATTTCAGTGTGCTGTACCTGTGCTGTCACATTTCAGTCAATCGACAAACCATTTTAAAATGATTGTGCCCCTAACCTAAACAGAGTACCACATAATTGTGAAATAAAGAGGAAAGTCCCTTGTACACTGATACTGTTAACCAGTGAAATGGCAATCAGCAGTCATCTAATTAATAGAGACAACATGTGTGCAATTTAATCTCAGGATAAATTGTTGAGTATTAATGACGGTTTATTAGGAGAACTTAGGTTGACAAAGAAAGTCTTGAAGTGTAAGACTCATAACAGAGGGGCCCAGTAATCAGGCAAGACAGACAGTGGGATAATTTAAAAGCTTTTATTAAGCAGCAGGCTGGGGATCTGCGGTTGCAGCGGCTAGGGCGTCTAAGGCAGGAACCTCCAAAGGAGAGAAACACAGATTAGTGAGCACGATAATCTGCGGAGGATGATTACACTGCCAGAGAGTTGCAGACGCTAAAGCCTAGAGGGCTTCAAAACTGGCAGGAGATCAGATCAAATAGGAAGGAAGACAGGATAATCCACAGGGTGGAGGGAAGAGGCAGATCCAGGTTCATTCCACTGTAGAATCCAGCAGATTTCCGAAGACAGTTCAGGCAAACAGATCAGGACAGCGACAGGCTAGCTCAAAGGTCAAAAAGCAGAATGGGTCAGGATCAGACAATCAGAACACATTAAGTTACTCTATAAAAACTCTCACCAAAAGGCTCAGGAATAATATGGCACTGATGGCTGGGACCAAGGAGTTTAAATAGAAGCAGGAGCAGGTGGATTAGATGAGCAGTGATGATAAACAGGACAGAGCTAGACAGGTAAATGAAATGAGCAATTAAACTAGCAATCAGTACCAAGATTATGACATGGAGAGAGTTTTTCAAAGGTTTGAACATATCAGAGAGTTTTATTCGGTTTGTCATTTGAAAATGGAAAGAGCTGAGGTGTCTACTAAAGCATGGCGGTTCAGCTAAACTGATAGACCAGGTAAATAACGAATTAAGCTGAAAAGCAGTCAAGAGGCTCATGATAACTTTTAAAGGGGCAGAGATCCAACAATCAACATTAGTAGATAGCAGTTGTTGATAAAAAAATGCATAAGAAATCCTGGTAATGCTGGATGGGCCATACCTAAATGCAGTAGAGAATCTGTGGAGCCACTTCAAATTTGGATTAAACTACTCAGGCAAAAACAATGACTAAAGGAATGGTCGAAATGTGAATAAATGACTTGCATCTTTAAATGAATAAAAAAAAGTTACAAAAATAGTTCCAGAGGTGATAAATAAGCATAACACCTTGCAGATAATTAAGAAAAAAAGAAAAGAACGTCTCATTTTCTTTTTGCTTTAGACTTATGAGTCAGTCTGTCTTAGCCAGTCACGTGAAATCCCTGAGCACTTCAAGCCCCCATACAGTTCCTCTAAAATAAAGTAAATAAAAGATGTAGCCACAGTGTAACCTACATCCCAACAAAGCAGCAGCATACTAAGTTTTACCAAAATCATATAAATAGTCAGATGCACCATTTTCAATTGTTTAAAAAACAGGTACTAAAACTGACCCCAGGAAGCATTAAATCAGGCCAATGTCACTTCTTCACTCAAGTAGTTAACTTTAAAAAAGGGAGAGATACAGGTTTACACATTTGGATGTAACTGTTTGCAATAAAGTCTTACATATCTACATAAATACAGGTATGTATAACCTTAGGTTTACATGTAATTTTTTATTTTATATAATTAGCTCATGTATTTGTACACATGTAAATGTATCTACGTTGTTAATTAAGCAGTTTTCATTATTTGCGTAGAACAGTGGCAGATAAATCAGTTTTATTGCACTGCAATGTACTTCTACCTAGAATTCTATTCTATTCAGTTCTATTCTTTGTTATACTGTTTTGTTATATTCTATTCCATTCTATTGTGTTCTCTTTTGTTCTATTCTACTTTATTCTATGCTATTTTATTCTGGTCTGTTCTGTTCCATTCTATTCTGTTATATTCTATTATATTGTGCTCTGTTCTGTTCTACTCTGTTCTGGTCTGTTCAGTTCTATTTAATTCTATTGTGTTCAGCTCTGTTTTGTTTTGTTAATTTCTATTCAGTTCTGTTCTATTCTATTTTGTTGTGCTATTCTGTTCGGTTATGTTCTATTCTATTCTATTCTATTCTATTCTATTGTTTTCTGTTCTGTTCTTGTCCATTCTGTTCTATTCTATTCTATTCTATTCTATTGCGTTCAGTTCTATTCTGTTCTGTTCTATTCTATTCTGTTGCGTTCAGTTTGGTTCTGTTGTATTCTATTCCATTTTGTTCTTTTCTGTTTTATTATCTTCTATTCTATTGTTTTCTATTTTATTCTGTTCTTTTTCTATTCTATTGTGTTCTATTTTTTCTGTTATATTTAATTCTGTTCTATACAGTTCTATTCTTCCTGTGAGGTAATCTCTAAACCCTAAAATCAACAAATCACTCTGGAAGAAAACCTTTATTCCAGATTTCTCCATATGAAACTATCTAAAGAAATGTGCAGCAAAATGTCTTTATTCGACCGTATATGCAATTGGTTTAACACCCAGCAGAGGTCGCCCAGTCTACAAATGTAATTACAGGTAGGAATCGGTGTGCCTAACTGAGGTTCCTTCAAAATCAGTGATAAAAGAGCAAATATGTTTTGGAAAATTAAAGTCTTGTTTGGATTATTGTCAGCAGGCTTTTATATGATTCATAAAAAAAAAACTTATAATGTAATAAAAACTGAAAATCGTTAAACTCTGTTATTTTCAGTTAAACATTTCCTTAAACATTTACACACAGATGTACTTTCATCTGTAGATGTCCTACTAGAACATCCCCTGTACTTCGATGGAGAGTTGATCTTCAAATTACCCTTTTTTTTCTGTGCCTTGTTGATATTTACTGTAGAATATTACAGTTCATGATAAAGCTGTTTTCTTGCACAGACGTTAAATCTTTCCTGGTCTTGGGAAATATCTAAAAGGAAGTCTATGTTTAAAACTGAATAACTTCTTTATTTAGGCCCTGATAAAATGCTTAAACCAGATATCTGTAATGATTAACACCACACTAGTATCAGTTTTACTCTGTTCCCTTAAATCCTCTCACCATCTCTTCTGTCGCAGCTGATTGACTTCTGATCTGCAGCAAAAATGAAATTCGACAATGTACTTTCTGAAATTAATGGATTTGGAAAATTTCAAGTGAAGCTCTTTTTGATCCAGATGCTCTCCCGAATCACTCTACCATGTCATTTCTTGCTGAACAACTTCATGGCAGCAGTGCCCCCTCACCACTGCAACATCAGCTCCCTGGAAGATGGAGGCGTCTTTGGAAATCTGACTCTACACCAGAAGCTGTTGGTTTCCATTCCTACAAAGCGAGATGGGACTCCCAGTTCATGTCAGATGTTTGCACAGCCCCAGTATGAGTATTTATCAGGCTGGAACAACAGCAAGGAGGCATCCTTCGTAAGATGCCAGAATGGATGGGTGTATGACAACAGCACCTTTAAAGCTACTCTAGTAACAGAGGTGAGTGTTATAAAAAAGGTATTAGCACCCTGTTTAAGACTTACGAATATAAATTAGGTTAAAGCAAAAATGGATCATGTTTTCAATTTGTCCTTCGTAGTGGGATCTTGTCTGCAGCAGAAAAGGGATGAATACGGCCACAGCTACAATTTTCTTTATCGGTGTCATGATTGGAGCCCCAATATTTGGGTTTCTCAGTGACAGGTAAGGATTTATACAAAGAATAAACAGTATGGACTACTACATGTGTACACGCCTCTGTAAAAATAATTTAAGTAAAATGAAAAATCGTCCTATTGCAACTATTGCTCCATAATCCTCAATGAAAAATTGAACTAAGTCGTTTTTTTTTCAATACAGTTCTGGGGACTTAAATGATTAAAGACGCAGGTTGTTTTTTTGAATTTGCTGGCCTATTTCTGGGTTGACCTACCTGTATGTTTTGGACAATTGTCCTTCTCAAAGAAACAATGAAAACCTACTTCCAGCAGCGGTCCAGAGCACCTTTCTCTGATATAATGCCATGTGTTCAAGCACACTAGCCTGAAGCCTTTAGAAAGGTAAAAAAAAATCACAAAATCATAAGCCCTTGCACACTTAGAATAGATAGGAGGTACTTCTCTCCGTGATCATCATTAGTTTAACACAGAACCCATGTAGCCTGTTTATTGTTAAAAAAAATGGTTTATTCTTATCGGACCAAAGAAAATAGTTCATGATAATGTCCAAGTTGACCCAACCTTAAATATTAACAGATGAGATAATAGGACAGAAAAGGTTTTACTATCTTTCATCAAACCTAAATGGCTGGTTAAAATGTCAGACTCAGATGATAACAGTATCATTATGGCACTAATTAGGCCAGTGGATTAAAAGAATGATTAACATATATTAGTCCTTTAAATATTTTGTTTACAGTAGTGCACAGTAAATCTATATGTGACTAAAAGCAGGGATGATATGAGGATGCATATAAGGAAGTAACAAAGAAGTAAAGATAAATTAGAGGTTCATAGATTTATTTCTCTTGGAAGTATTTCTTATCAATAAGGGGGGTAAAGAAGTTTTTTTTTTTTTAAGTCAGTCATTTAAACCGATTTTTTTTCACAACCAGGTTTGGACGACGAAGGCTGCTCCTGGTGTCTTACATATCCTCGTTGACATTTGCGATTCTGAGCGCTTTCTCCTCGTCATACATAATGTTCGTCATTATGAGATTCTTTACAGGCATGTGCCTATCAGGGATAAGCATCATCTCCATAGCTTTAAGTAAGGAAATTTGCTTTATTGTTCTCCTCTTCCCCTCTTTATGTTCATCCTCCTTTTCTGATCTCGCTTTTTCATCCATGCCATTGTTTCTCCAGATGTTGAATGGTGCAGCATTGAGCGCAGGACTTTCTCCTGTGTAATCATTAGCCTTGACTGGTCACTCGGGAACTGGCTTTTAGCAGGGATTGCTTTCTTTGTGAGGGACTGGAGGATGCTCATAGTGGTTGTTACTTCACCACTTATTCTGGCCATCTTTTGTTGGAGGTAATAAAGTAAAATTTTTCTTCTTACCAAAAGTAGAACAAAAGAAACACCAAAATCGATCAAAATCTTCTGTTATTTCAGGTGGCTTCCAGAGTCTGCTAGGTGGCTTGTGGCAAAGGGGAAAGCTGAAGATGCACATCATTACATTATGGAGTGTGCTGAGATGAACGGGAGATCCAAGTGTATCACTGCCATCACACCCAACGTAACCCTCTTTACCAAAAGTTAATAACTTTATAGAGCAGAACTGTGAGGGGAAAGGGAAATAATACAAATTGTACATTACCGAGTATTTTTTCTGTAAAACAATTAGGCTGGTTGGATAATAAGCTAACAAATTTAGACCATCATAAAGAGCCTCCAGTTGAACACTCTGACTCTCTTCTCTTTTTTTTCATTCCAGGCATTACTGGAATCTGTGGAAGCTAAAACAGGAGATAAGAAATACACTATTGTAGATCTTTTCAGGACCCGAAACATAAGAAAACTTGCAATATGCTCTGGGATTGTATGGTATGTATTCATTTAATGTGACAGGGTATGGTAATGATTCTGAATTGGTAGAAATTATGACTTCATTACAGTTCTTTTTGTGTGTGTGTGGTGGTTGTTCACATTAATGTTTAAAATATCAAAGGACACGTTGTTGTCTCTTGTTCATGGAAAAATTGCATTAATTTTCCAGAATGAACAAAAGACACAGTGACAATTGTAAATCTATGTTCTTGTCATTGGGTTAAAAATTTTGGTTTTTATATAAGTTTCAACATATA